AATTAAAAAATTGAAAAATTAATATATATTGATAATTATGAATTTTAAAAGTTTAAAAATATTACTATTAGATATATTATAATATAATAAATCTAAAATTTTATTTTATTTTTTTATAATCATTAGATAATAAAATATTTTAAGTTTCCTAAAATGTTTTAGAAATAATTTATATTTACAGTTTAAGGAATAATACATTTAACTAAAAGTTTAAATAATATATATTTATATAAATAATATAAATTATAAAATTATAAAATTATTAATTTTAATCTATATAATGAAATTATTTTAAATATTCTTTTATGATATTTTTAAATAATTACATAAAACTTTTGCAATTATTAATGTTAAATTTATTTATCTTTAACAATTACATTTTTTTTTTTTAATTATTACTTAGAAAACATTATAAAATTTATTATAAAAGTATTAATTTTTTAATAATATATTTTAAATATTTAAAAATAATTAAAATGATTTCAATTAATAAATAAAATTGCCTGCAAATTTGTAAGCAAAAATAATTAAAGGAATAAAAAATATCCCACTACTACCACCTTAAATAAAATATCATTATAATATATAAAGGCTTATATTATAAAGGTTATAATAGATCTTAATAATAAAGAATTTATAGCTAATCTTTCATTTATCTTAAGTTTATACATTGGGAATCTTTTATTTTAAAGCATTTAGATCTCTAACTTAGACTACAAAATGTAACACAAAAGAATTTCATGGAACACAAAAAATTTTTTATATTGTACGACATGTTTTATCAAACCACTTTAAATGCACCCTTGGGTTCATAAAAGAGGATGTACTTTTAATGAGAAAATTTTTATATATGCGCATTTAGAGAGGTTTGACTATCGATCCGTAAAACTCGTGACATTATGAATTTCCAAACAATAAATGCCTTTTTGTAATTGATTCGTGGCTAAGATAACATGTGAAGTGATATGCTGAGCTTTTTTTTCTTTTCAAAAAAACGCCGCATAATTAAAGCCACAAACCAGATTTTATGAATTTTTAAAAATTCATCAAGCGTCATTGCGCCATTTAATTTGAAAGATTTCAAGATAACAACAAATGTTTTATTATCGATAAATAGGAAATGTTTTAAAAGTTTCATTGCTAAATAGGGCAATTGTGAACGGGTCTCGGAAGGTTTACCTTATCAGATACATGCTTCCTCTTTTTCTTTTTTTTTTTTTTTCCTCAAACGAGTAAAATAAAAAAGTCCATTAAAAGATTCAATTGACGCTTAAAAAAATTTTTTTTTAATTTCACAAATCCAAAAGCCTCAAACAAATTTTTCATTTCTCTTTAATCATAAATAAAATAATAACGTTCAGTCCCTTACTGATATAAATGTCGAAACGAGTTTAATTTGTTCAACCAACTATGAATTTTTTGGATAAGAATTCAAAATATTTGCCAGTGAACAGTATCGCAAGAAATTTTCAAAAGGATAATGAAGCAAACTCATTAAAAGCGTTGATAATCAAGCGTTCAAGTCCGAACACTGTTACGTCGGGCTTGGAAATGGAGATATTTTCGGAGTCGGATTATAGAAAGGACGCGTTCAAATCCGAAAAACGTTTCGTCGGGCTGGATAATGGGGATATAGTGGATTTGTCGAAGAGATACGTTCAAGTCCGAACACTGTTTCGTCGGGCTTGAAAATGGAAATAGTGTTGGAGTTGTATTCTTGAAAGGACTCGTTCAAGTCCGTAGGTTTGTTGGAGTTGTTCAGACCCGAACACTGTTTTCGTCGGGCAAGTAGTATTGGCACGTTCAAGTCCGAACACTGTTTCGTCGGACTTGATAATTTATTCTTGTAGAAAATGGATTGGTTGAAGGGATGCGTTCAGGTCCGAACACAGTTCGCGGAGTGTTCGTCAAAAAAACTTAGTGGGGCACTTTTCAGATAAATTTATGATGTAGATGAAAATGGCGAAACTTTATTTCGATTATTTGAAACACCTAAAGAAAAAGAAGATTTAATTATAAATGCAGTTCAATCATATTGGAGTCATATCCTTAATGATTTATATTTTTTTGAAAATTTTATCAATTCTTATAAGTTGAATTGGTTTTATTAATTATATTAGGCTTATCTATTAAATTAGAAATATAATTATTAGGAAAGAATTTATACATATGGACCAATTGGAACATGTCAAGTAAACCTTAAATAAAATAATAAAATAATTCTTTAACTACAGTATAAACCTTCTTCGTGTCTTCATATAGGATGTTTTGTGATCATAAAATCCTTTTCAACGGATTGAATGTTGAGTTAAGAGATTAACAAGTCTACCGTTAACGTCGTGTAGTAATTAATGTGATACATATGTTAACTTTATCTTATAAATAAAAAAATAAAGTTCATTAAAATACGCGTTATAATCAAATACTTTTCACGAAAAACAAGAAATAATAATTGACAAATTATTGGAGAATCAGACCCTTACCCTTGTGCTGCCTTATCAAATGCAATTAATGTTTTGGATTAGAAGAAAACATTCCAACTGAAGAAATTTTAAATAATGAAGATGATGAAAATTAATTCAAGAGGAGGCCCGTAGCGATGAAAATCGTGATGACGATTTCTGATGAAGTGGCAATGCTTGTTTCTTTTAATGATCCTTAAAAATTTGGATAGCCTTTTTTGAACAACCATCACCAGATGAATTTGATGTTTAAGATATGCACGTGCTTAGAAATACTTTAATATTGTACAACGGCTTGAATTTCGACCTAGAAAGCGAAGGTTCATATAATAATGAATATACACAGTTTAATACATGTTTTAAATAACTATTATATAACGGTTAATAAAATAACTCTTACATAAACTTAAAGTTTTACATAATCACTTTCATATGATTTATATATAAGATTGACCCATATATAATCATTATTAACCGAACCGACCTGGTGATTATAGAGTATTTATTTCCAATTCTTCGTTAATTATGTCCAATCGGAATAGAATTTAAACCAACTTCAATTTTATTATCGTATTAGCAGCTTATAAGAACTTATTGGCAATGATCTTTCGTAACAGATATTAATGCTGCTTATTTTAACAATTCAGCAACTTCGACAAGTTGATCTTCACAAATGCATTTTTTTTTGCATTCATTCTTTTGAAATAAAATGCATGTTATACGACGATGTCTAGGTAAGTTCACGTGATTTATCTAAAAATGGTTATCGAAATTTCCTAAAACACGTTCGAAATAAAAATAATTTGACCCGACTTTTTTTTGTACGTGTCTGTTCAAAACTATTGAATTTACTTCTACTCTGATGTTTTTTTTTTAAACAAAATTTTAATTGACCATTTCTGCAATGTTTGATTAAGTAGGAAAGAATAACTAGGTAGTTCGGTATTTTGGTTTGGGAGACATGGCTAGGTTATTGAGGCTGTATATAGGCTTATTTGCTATGTTAAGAGTTTAAACCAGTCTGTTATACAGGTTCTCTTTCCAATGGATACTATTATGCAAAAGCATAAAATTTATAATTGTGGAAACACAGGATTTGTTGATTAAATTCTTCGTACGTGATCGTCGCTTGCTTGATAGAAATACTTAATTGAATTATTCCTTTTATAGTAATTTTAGAGGAACGAAGCAAGCTTCTTTGCTTTTCAACAAATTATGCTTTCACTGCGAGAGAGAAGTTATTAAAGAGATTTGGTAGAAATTTATCAATTGAAGAATCGATTATATAATGACCCGAGTGGAATATAGTTCATTCGATAAATATATACTTTCAAAGGATGTTTTCTAAGATTTCTAATAAATTTGAATACTCGCATCAAAATGATTTAAGAATCGATTTTATTAATAATAATGTTTAAATACCTACAGAGATATCTAAAAGTTATTTTAATCCATATGCTTGAGACGTAATTGTGCGTGGTCAATCTTCTGCACATAAATAATAACTTCATCTCGATGTTGACTCCTTTCTATGAATGTCGCATGATTATATAGTTATAATGCATAAAATAGAAATATAGAACGTATCGTTAGTGATTCGTTTCGAAAATTTACAGGATCAGATACGTCTTACAATTTAAAAATGATGTTTTAGAAGATACAAAAAAAAAAAATAGCACCTTGCTACGAAATCTGGTGACATTTTTCTTAGACATAAGAAAATTATCATTTCTTCAAATCCTACCAAGACTGGTGGTTCAAATACGAAAAAGGTTTTAGTAAAATATAACCTTCGGATTTATTACCGAACCCTACGAATTTAAAACGTTTGTCACGGGATTAATTTACACACAATGCAACAATGGGGGGATTCCAATCATTGCATTTCACGTTACTTTAGAATTTGATGACAAGCATTATTTAAATGAGAAAGGCAAAGGGGCTGATTTATAATTTGATTTTCAAACAACTAGAAAATGTGATTTGAAATTTTGCCTATTTTGCCGAATAAACTGATTTTAAATATTTTTTAGTGATTCCTTTAACCAACTATAGTTAAAGTTGAACATAATTTATCAGTAACTTGCATGTTAAGAAAGAGGTAGCCTTAAATGTATCTAATGAACATTCTAATAGACGTCCAAGCAATTCTATAACTGACAATTAAGTTTGTCTAAAAAAAAATGATTTTAAAAAATTTAAATCAACATTAATGTGTAGAACATTTTGTTTGAATATTTCTTTGACAAGAGAACTTATTTATCTCGTAAACATTTGCCATCGCGAATCTTTGAAAGTGAAATTCGTCTTGTAACATAAAAGTCAAATCACGTGATATTGTACCACTTTTTTAAAGTCGTTTGTTTTATTATTTTTTTTCCTTTTGTTGATAAAATCTAAATTAAAATGAAAATGAAAACGAAAAAGATTACAATAATAGATTGCAGTTATGGGGCTTCGTCAATAGAACCGCACCATCTTGCAAGATCAATGAAATAAGTAAGTTGGTGCGTTTCTATTTGATGAAGCCTCATCTTTGCGCATTTCAAACTCAGACATGTGTGGCATTAGCTCATGTAATAATAATACCTTTTAAATTATTCGTAACTTGATTGATTATAAATCAATAATATGATTTTGCGTCATGATCAGGTAACCATATAATTGTGTATTTTTTTTCTGTTTTTTTCTCCCCTATTTTCTCTTTTTCCCTTAAAGAGATATATTTTCATAAAAAAAAAAAAAAAAAAAATTAAAATCATTTTAATGAGCTTTTAACTTTGAGAAACGAGGTTTCTAAAAAAAAAAAAACAAGTAGGTGATTATTTGATCAATTTAATTTTTTTTTAAAAATAAAAAATGATTCATACGGCAATCAAAAGTAAATATAAAAAAGTTTGAAACGATCAATTCCTTTTTATCCATATCAATAAATTTATCATTAACAACATTTTTTTTTTTTTTGATAAAAAAATTACCATTTATCACTAAATTTTTCATTTTTCGCGTTCTCTTAAAACTTTTTAACCGTCATTACTTCATTGGAATTTGAATATTCTTTTCGTGTCAACCTCATACTTTAGATTAAAAGTAAGTATAACAATCTTCTCCATTTTGTACTAACCGCAAAAATAGTATTCAGGTGATAAAAGTTTTATCAATCATTATTTTCATTAGAAATGTCGACAAATTCCAAGTCTTCACTTGACAAACCTCTCAAATCCCTTGTTCAAGAGAAAGAAGTGCGTGATGACAACGTTGATTCCAGAACTTCCAATTCCTTGAACAAGATAATACTTACTCCCATCACACCATCTAATAATTTCCTGTCACTCCACAACATTTGCAATATAATTCAACAATCTCCTATTGAATCGCAAAGATCAACAAATGGATCCATTTCAAGAAAAGAGGATATAAAAAGATCGGAACCATTAGGAAACGCGCATAATTTCAACGTACATACTTCTATTTCGAAAGCAAGTACGGAAGATCATAAATTTATTAATGATGATGATAACACTCATCGTAAAGAAGAACGAGAAACGAAATCAAGCTATCCATTAAATTGGCAAGAAGATACGAAAGAAGTTTATAGCCATACTTTTGGTTCCATGATTACGCACAATGATTCTCGTGTTAAACCATTGGAACCAATGGCGGCAGCAGCAACTCGGTGTTCAAATCCATTATGCTTACAATGCCGATACGTTCAACATAATCTGTCACAAATTCAATCAACATCCAACTATCCGTCAACATCCGGTATCCCTTTTCATTACTATTTGGCTCTGCCAAATCCGCAGGCATCTTTTTATCTTCCTTCATCCGCGTATAAGCCGACACAATTACAGCCACAACTTCCGCAGGGACATAAGCAAAAGAATGAACATACAAGTACTGCTGAAGAAAAAACAATATGTAACGAGTGTATTACTCAAATGAATGTTCAGTCTCAAAAGAGGCGACGTAGAAAGGTCAAAGCGATGGTATACTCAATAGATGAATCAACGATTAGATCTGGAGAGATTTATTGTTGTTCAAATTGTGGCGTGAGTGAATCCCCTGCTTGGAGAAGAGACCTTCAAGGCGATGCTTTGCTTTGTAATGCATGCGGATTATAGTAATTATTAAATTTTGGATTATTTATGTAATTTTTTTTTATATATATATACGTCATAAATTAATCTTTATTACTGTATATAATCCAGTCTTAAGGTTAAAGGA